TTCACCCTTTTTTCTGTGCTTGCCAGTCTTCCAGGTTAAGGGGAGAGGATATAAGAGGAAAAAGGGGGGTCCTCCCCCTATTTAAACATGTTCACATTAGAGATGAGGAGATTAAGGGGGGGTATGATTTCAATGTACAAAATGTTTATTGGTGGTAGCAACATTAGCGATAAACTGTTTAAAATTAACTCCGTTACAAAAACTAGAGGCCATCACCTAAAATTGATGGAAAAAAAATTCCAGCACAAGGGGCGAAGGGGGTTCTTCACAGTAAGATCAGTTAGGGTCTGGAACTCACTGCCACAGGCGGTGATTTCAGCAAATAATGTGGAATTGTTCAAGAAACTTTTGGACGATTTCTTAAGGGACCGTAATATACAGGGGTACGGGTACTCCTAGAATGAGATCCTAATAGGTTGGACTTGATGGACTAATGTCTTTATTCAACCTCAAATACTATGTAACTATGTAACTAGTACCTCTTAGCATGATACAGTAAGAGGGGAAAGTCCGGGCAGAGTGTCAGAGTGCAGCATGAAACATGAGCACTGCCTGGGAGGTGAACTGAGGGTGAATGCGATTGAGGTGAGGTGAATTGTTATAGCGGAAATTAAACTCCAAAATGCTAAACCCTCACCCCAGGTAAAAAAAAATATCTACGTCCCTATCTAGGTTAGAGAACAGTTAGAGTAGCCTTTCTCTGGTTTGTCAGTAAAGGACACCAGTGATTTTAATATCTATCTCTAGGGGAGACATTCTTCCCCTTACCACCAATGTGGAAGAATGTCCCTTTTTCTTCTTACTGCCACCAGAGTAAGATGCATTATTCCCACTGCCCACTAGGGTAATGGGGCCCTTCTCCCACTGACCTCCATTGCCTGCTCTGAATGTACATCCACCAATCTAAAAGGGCTCTTCCCCACTGACCACCAATATAAGAGGGGAATTCACTGACCATAAGGAGGCTCTACACTGACTACCAGCCTAAGAGGGCACTATAGTGATCACCAGTGTAAGAGGGAATTACACTGTATACTAATGTAAGACTGCACCGCACTGACCAACAGACAATGGGGATCTTTCTCTGGTGGCCACCAAGTAATGGGACATTATACATTATACATTTCTGTTTCTTTTCTGGCCATTTGTTTTGTTATTCCTTTCATTTTTAAATAAACCACATAAAATAATCCAAGGTGTCACAGCTATAGCTATAGTAATTATTAGCAAGGGGTTTTTTCAAGGGTTCCTCCATGCTAAAAAGGTTGAGAAAAGCTGGCAGCCCCGTCACCCTGGGCTACAGCCTATGTTGGATATGGAGAAATCTGGTCCTGGTTTCAGGCTGGATTTTAAAGCAGGATGGACAATGCTGATTGGAAATCAGATAACTTGCTAATATGCAATGTATCTGATCTTCTGGTTTTGAAGATCAAATAATTTGCATATTAGCAGCCCTCCCAATTCAGAAACAGACACAAAATTGTGAATAGGTTATCCTTTGAGATCTAGACAGCTCTGCCACTAGACTATAATACAGAAATGTTTTCTAAGACTGGAGTTCTACACTATATGGCCAAAGGTTTGTGGACATCCCATACCAAAACTATGGGTATTAATATACACTGAGTGGCCAGATTATTATTAGGGATGGGCTACATGTTCGAGTCGAACGTAGGTTCGATTCGAACATAGCCTGTTCTAGCATATGTATCAATGAAAAAAACACTTTTAAAAAATACAATTTTTAAAGGAGCAGTGATTTAACATCACACAAAATGAAACATTAAAAATTAAAAATTCCTTCATTACGGTCAGTGAAAGGGGACCACCCAGGCACCATGTTTAAAGGAATTTTTAATTTTTAATGTTTCATTTTAAGTGATGTTAAATTACTGATCCTT